GTGGGCCCTGTTTGAAATTGTGTAAATAGCACAAATAAACAAATTAAACAATGTTTAAGTTTTTTCAAGTTCGTAGGTGTCCAGGTACAGAAACTGAATAATCAAATGTAAATAGCATTGCATAGTCTTCACTGTATAAATTAAATATAGATTAATTCTTGTTAAAACTACAAAGTAGTTCAGTAAAGAGCAGTGAGTGATTTTCTCCCATTTAATTTCTCGGCTTAACATTAAGGACACTGACAGCAGCTAGTAAATTAGGTGCGGTCACTTTAAGAGACAAGACATCCAATATAATGATACACATTCCATTTCTTTCTCAACTGTTTACTCTAACTTAAGACATAACCGACAATTTTTGAGAGGATACTTGCAAAGACAGGTATTATGACATTTTGTCATGAAAATTAATTAATAATTTTGTATGTATTTGTCGTTTCAAGAGCAAGAAGAGACAAAACTCAATTCGGTTTTCAAGGGCTGTGAGACGTGGCTCTCTGCGTGCGCACTGTGCGCACAGAACAGCACGCGGGTGCTGAATTAAGCTTTTCATGTTTTTTTGTGTTTGTATGTTTAAACTGGTGAGGTGTATTTGTTCGTTCAGGCACGGGAGGAAGCGAAGAAGAGCTCGGTTTGGTGTTTGCGCGGCTCTCCGTGTGCGCACCAAACTCAGCGCACAAACTCTCAGTTTTTTCCGCGTCTCGTGTTTGAATGCTTTAAACTGTTTTGAATGTTTAAATTGGCAAGACTTAAAACACGTGCAATTGATAAGCTTTCGTGACGACGCGCAGGCCGTCTTTTTATGCTGGCCTCGGGCAGTCGGTTGAAATCCCCCCCCCCTATATAGTACAGTCATCTGTAAATATTTTTATTTTCTCAAGGTTTTTTTCATTGATTTTCTCTAAGTGACAACATATAGAGCCCCTAAAATAAAAAATAATCATAAAAAAAAAAACATAGGCCATTACATGCACACAAGAAACTTTTTTTTGCCCTCGAGAAACTCTTCACATGCGCATGGGAATTTATTGCATGCTTACGTATTACAATTTCTAGTTTTATATAACCGATTTCCTTTGTGCATCACTGCCATCTTACTATGAATAAAACGAGAGAATGGATGCATATGAATTAACAGAGATCTAGTACCTCTAATATAAAGGCCTAATGTCCAATTGAACATCCTCTGTGGCAGCGGAGAGAGCATGACACGAAATGGGCTGATGGCATAAAATTTGCCTAGTTCAAGAGTCTATAAAAAAGACTGGTACTGTAAAAAAAAAAGTGTTCAAAATTTGGCTTTCGTTAGGGCAGTATGCCATATTTCAAGGCCTTAGGTCTCTTTAACGCATACTTTGTGGAGGCCAAAAAAACACTGAAATGGGCTGATGGCACAATAGGTGGCTCAGTGTGTCCTAAATGCTAAGTTTAATGGTTTCTTGTGCGCACATAAATGTCAGTATATTTTTTTTATTTTTGCAAAGGTCTTTGAGTCTATGTAATACGGTGCTAAGAATATCATGAGAAGAAACCTAATATGATTATTAGAGCCCGACCAAATATATAGTTTAGCCGATATGAGCCTGTAGCAGATATATCGGTTTCGGCGAATATGCCGCCGATATGAATTTTTTTTACAGAACATATAACAAGTGTTCGAACTATACCGTGGACTTTGGGGGAGCCCACT